AAATATTTAGAAGACAAACATACCTTTCTTCACACCCTCATCTCAGATTTTCCCTTAATATGCATAAAATTCTGATGCAGAAAACTAATAAGATACAGGGGATGAGTACGTGTCTGTGTGTGTGTGTAGCTGGTTGGTGGTGTTCCTTACCAGTGACATATGGAATCAATACAGTTAGGACTTCAGCGTGGTAAAAAACAGATGGTCTCTATAGACTTGTTTTATAGCTCAGGCCTGGGCGAGTGTCTTGTGTAACTGTGCTTCTTACAGAGACAGACATATAGAGTAACTCACAGAAGGAAGAACTATATGGGCATTCATACTTAAATCATTCCACAAACGCATACAAAGAAACAGCAGAATATGCAGATCTTAGTTTGATTAAATAAAGTCCTTCGGGCTTGCAAACATAGTGTCACTCATACAACGCTCAATCGCATTCATACACAAGTACAGGCTCCTGATCAGCTGAATGTCCAGCGTCTTGCATCCTTGTGTTGTTGCTCCTCTATAAGGTGTGAATCGATGAAAAGCAGTAAAGTGGCTGAAGTAAAAGCCTGTAACACGAGGCTGACGCATAAAAACTTCATCTAAGGTGAAAGACTGCAGAGAGAGAGACAGCAGCTTGAAGGCTAAGCATAAAGAGCAACTAGCACAGTTTGAGCATGAGAGTGATGGAAAAGGATTCTTTTTGCTGCTGTTGTTTCTGTTATCATCATCCTACGGGAGGGGCTGGCATCTGCCCTGTCGTGTTCATTTAAATCCAGCATTTCCTTCTTCTTTAACATATCTCCCTCAGTTGTTTTTTTTTTAATAGTTAAAAACCGACATATTAAAATTACTAGTAATTTGTTGCAGGAATTAGAAAAGTTTTGATCACGCTTGTGTTGTTATGTGTTGTTGATGTTATGTCAGCAATGACTGAGTTAAATATATATGTATAGGCTGTTTTGCAGTAGATTGATCGTTGTCTTTGGACGGATGGTGAGCTGCCAGTGTTCTACAGCCTGGCAAAATTAGACTGTGTTACAGGCGTTCTGGAAACCTGGCAATCTATGAAAAACTCACTCTTTCTAAAGCCCCCAGAGTTACTTTTTGGAGTACAAACACTGAAAATATTATTCTTTTTGAGAGTCTAGACATCAAACACTCGGTTTTGATTGCGAAGCCCAACCAAACTGTGGTCTTTTTAACCGTGTGTCTGAAGTGAGCTTACTGTTCATCACATAAAAGGGATTATTAATGTGGTCCCTCAGGTTATAAGTAGTTTTTCTCAGTGTAAATGCAACTTCACATCTTCTGTGTGTGTGTGTGTGTATCTGTGTGTTTATTACAGTTACTATCTTTGTAACAGTACAGTGCATGAGTGGATAAAAACATCTTGTATTGAAGTTGTGACTCTCGTGGTCTCCATATGCTTACATACCTGTAACTTTATTTTTTTTAAGGATTCATTTCTGCTTTTTGTTTATTTTTTTTTACTTTTTGCAGTGCAGTGTGGTTATGTGCGTGTGTGCATATGCGCACTTTTTATATTAACTTGTCATACTCTCATTTCATGCTTATGGCGTGGATTCCCATCTTCCCTTCCCCTCAGTGCCTTTCTCAATCTTAGTAATCAAATGCATTAGTATCAATATTGCATGGGGAAACGAGCCGAATTTAAAGCTTGACCATGTCAAAGTGAGAGTCCCTAATAGCCAGTGACTGCCACCACTCAGTGGAAATTGTGCTGCCATTTTGGCTGTAATTACTGAAGCTTGGCTCTGGGTTAATATCTCGAGTGATGGGCAGTTTTCACATGGGATAAAAGTTCTAGCTTCAAAATATATTCATTGCCCATCAGTGGGAATAGCCCAAAGTAATGAATAGACTTTGTCTCTGTATGGGTTTTAATCAAAAAGTGTGCAGCACTTTTTAATTTAGTTTACTTCAAAGGGGATTTTCACTGATACATGATACATGTGTGTCAGACAGTCTTGTGATATTCTACTCTCTGTTTGTGTCTTATCTACTTGCAAATACTTAGATACAATAGATTCCTTATTCAGTCGCTTTTTACATCTAGATTCACAGATCAACACATTTTAGAAATAAAAATTAGAATTAACATAAACAGTAACTACACTGGAGCACGCTAACTAACATTTGCTGTGTTACCTTCAGATTGTGAGTAAAGTTACAGATATTTGCCAGCTTGGAGTTAATGGCCGTGGTAAACATCAGTACAGGTGTATTTTGTGTGATTACCTGAGTGGTCTCTTGCACATTGACCACACTCCCATCTACAGGGCATGGGTGGTCACTCTTTGATGAGTATTAAAATGGTGTGAATTTTATGCTTTTTAGTCCCTACTCATATGAACACCTATGGGAGATATGAAGGAAATACCTTTTTCCTATCGCCCTGTTAGTTTACTAAGACATGCTAAAGTTCATTTCTGGTGGTGCATGCTAGCCCAAATATTTTACTTTGACTTTTTTATCCCCTCTTTTTAGTCAACTTTCATCTTTCCATGCACACTTGTCTGTGTAATCTCTGTCTTCCATTTACTAAAACGAAGGCAGAATGAAGCACTATACCCAGCGTCCATGGTTAATCTCCAGCACCCATATGGTTTTAGGCTATGTTTGGTGAGGCTGTTCAACAACAATAGCTGATGTAGTTGTGTTGTGAAGTTTATATGGCAACCAGAGGTGATGATAGTAAGCCATGTCCTAAGGGGAGACCCATAAATCACAAGTTAGGCATGTTGTGAACAGAGAGTTATTCCCTACAGATACACGGGATTCTCTCTGTCAACCCCAGTGTTTAAAGTCAGAACAATAAAGCCATCATTCATAACTTCTAGACTGTTTTTTACTCCCCCTCTATTCTCTCTGTTTATGTGTATTTTACTCGGTTCTTACCAATGACATCACTGGCCCTCCTGGCAAAGAAGAAGAAAAAAAAGCGAGGACACATGTTGGTCGTGTGCGTGTAGTATTGTGTTGAAAGATGAGCTGAGCTTCTGAAAAACACCCACTCTTTCTTGGTATGGTGTCGCCACAAAAGGCCTATTGTTAATCGCGCCTTTTGTGTTTTTGTAAGTGTGCCTGCGCCATGTTTTTCTTACATATTTTCCACATTCTTGCTCATTACATATAGGGAGGACTGGGGGGTTTAGAGGTGAATAGATTTTGTGTTATATATGGATTTGGCTCTATGTGTTTGGGGCTTAATTTTCAGTGCGCCTGCAGCAGCATGTGTCTGCTATGTGAGCCTGGTCCAGGAGTTGTGAAGGGTGGGGCACTCTTAAATGCCTGCTGTCTGGGGTGCTCGGTTACACTGCAATTAGCCCTGGTTTTCTGCCTCTCACAAGGCCACAGTCAAAAAATGGAGCCCAGCAAAACAGCTGCATTATATTAACCTTTTTAACTCTCCTGAGAATTTAACTGTTTGACATAAATCGCAAACCTGTAGGTAGGGTTGTCTAATTTCATTTTAATCTGTTTAAGTTATTTATTTTAGTTTTTACTTATTCGTTTTATTTCATTGAATTAAGGTAATGGAAGCTTTTGTATCTCAGTCTTCTACTCCCAATAAAAGGTCACCAAGATAACTGAGACATGATACAATGAGGTTAAGTGATGAAGTGTAGTACGCGTTGAAATGATGCATCCCTGAACTTCCATGATGGCTTGTGTGCCAATGTGCTTTTGACCCTGAATCCATCTGAATGTTTTTTTTTTAAGTATATTCGTTCCCTTATTTGGCCTCTGTAGTTGAATAATACCTCTTTCATTAAAACCTGAGCTGTGAAGCAGGTAAAAATGCTTTTTTCAGGGACATTTAGAAAATTATTGTTCAAATATATCAAAGATCAACGTGTTGCCAAAAAACAAAACAAAAACAGTGATAAATTGTACGTCGTCTACACAATTAGTTCAGTTGTACCCTTGTTAACCACCTACAGTGCAAGGTAGTTAATCTCCCTTCTAGTAAATCGCTGCCACCCCTTGTGTCACCTCAGCTAAGCAGAATCCCTGGAGCTTGGGGGAGTTCACCGTCTTGCACAAGGACACCAAAGCAGGGCAGATGCTGGCTGACACTTTGTCCTCTGATCTGGGTCCTCTGAGAGCGCACGGTTTTGGGTTTTCATGTTCACAGCTTGATTGCTGAGACAGACAGAGCTTTGCGTTTAAGCGTCCTTGAGCATGACACTGAATATCTCTCTGTAAGTGGTAAAAGTATGTCAGCACATATTCATCACATTCATGTCATGATTGCTCCTAGTTCTGTCTTTGTGTGTCTCTTTATGCATATCTTGTTAATTAAAGAGTATGTATTACCACTTGGTGGTGTCTGTGCGCAGCACCAGCCATATCAATGAGAAGAGGAGTTCCTGTGTGGGTGGGAGTGTAGTGGGTGTCATCCTGGGTTCCTTGGTCTCTCTGTGCAGCTTGGGGGATTAATGGCAATTTGAGTAAAACAAAGAGACGATGCCTGGGATATCGTCAGGTGCCTGTATAATTACAAGGTGGTGAGATAAGCAAATAACGACAAGATCAGGCGATTAGGAGGCGAAGAAGAAAGAAAGCAGCGGCAGCCCTGCCCTGCTAATTGAGGGATGTGAGAAAACAGTGGTTGTGAGATCGGAATGTTAAAGGTTTGGGGATGTGGCGCCTTTACTCCCAGCTGTGCCACTGATAACCTGTTACCTTCTTCCATTTATGCGTTACCGCCAATGAGGGATTGTAGAAAATGCAGCAGACTGTCGTGACCTGTGTTCTTTTGCTGTGGGCAAAACCACCATTGTGGAACTGGAGGTTTTATATGGAATTGTTGCAACAGTGAAATTGTTATGACACTTTAGTTTCATAGAATATAAATGCTAAGAAGTATGATGATTAATGTACTGTGACAAAATCTGATTGTTACAAAGTAATATAGGTAACAAGTGTTTTTGGGTTCATCACTTTTATTTATTCATATTTATTTCCTATTCTGTGTTTTGCAGAGCGTCAAGCTGTCCTGCTTGAAGACCCCACACGTCCTCGTGCAGTTGGGGCCTCGGCTCTCCGGCCAGGTCAAAGGTCACTCCGACCCTACCCTCCCCCTCCCCCTCCCCCTTCCCTACCAGAGCCAAGATGGCCACCAGTGGTGCCCTGCGCATCTCCTTGCAAGTCCTGCTGCCTGTGATCACTCTGCTGCTATCACTGCTGCTCACCGGCTCCAACGCCAGTAAGTACCAAGATCTTCTCAATTTTGGTGCCTTTAACAGGTTCATCACTCATATCTGCAAACTTATTAAAAAGTGGAGTAATCACAAAAAAGGGGGGAGAGAGGGACATTATATAAGCTTTGGTGAACCTTTTTTCTTTACTTTGAGCACTTCCAAGATGCTTTTGTTGCATTTTGCGACTGCACATTTGTATTTAAAGATTGCATGCTAATGACTGTTTACATCTTATCTAGGTGGGACTGCTTTAGCGTAGCCAGAGGAAAGAAAAAGCTTATTTGTAAAACCAAAGCCATATTCATTTAGCTGTAGCGGTAATCCTTTGGCCTGTGTTTTTGTGTCTATGCAAACGTGGACTAAGCAGTAAATTCCACTACTGGAATTACAGGGCACTTGTATGTTTACATCACTGGAGCCACGTGTAAAACACGGCTTATACAGACAGAGGTGTTGTTTAAGTGATACATGGACTTCTCCTTGTATATAGCCACATTAACCAATTCTAAAATTCATGTGCACACTCATGGATACACCAGGGTTAACTTGGGGTTCAGTGTCATGCCCAAGGATAGTTCTACGTGCAGACTGGAAGAGACAGGGATCAAACCGCTGACTTTATAAACAACCTACCCAATATCCACCAGAAAGTATGATGTTAGATAGCATTGTCATGATAGAATAACTTGGCTAAGATGCTTCCTGTTTGGATAGGCTGTAAGTCATTGTGTGGGTATTCGATATTTGGATAATGTTCTGACAATGCACTTATTTTCATATAAAAAGATTAATATCACATAATAATTGCCTAATTTAGGCATTGTATTTGTCTGTATGCAGTGTCCTCCATAGTTAGTAACAGAGTACATAGCGATTTCTATGAGCTAAATGTTTGTGTATTAGCCCTGGAATATGTCAGTGATAAGTCCTTAAAATGGGAAGTAACAGATTAGACACGTTATTTCACAGTCATTGCTGACTTTTGTTGTCTACCTTGAACAATTTAAGAGGGATATTGTATTTTCCACTCTGTTTGCTCCGCATTTTCTTTTATCTCCAATTTGACATTCAATGAATTTGTTTTTAGTGGTTCATGATGACACGATTGCTTGATTTTCCTCATGTTCCAACAGAGGCGAACCTTTGATTGCACAGTGGTTTGACTGTCTGGTAACATAATTGGAGTGTCTTTCAGCTCAGCTGGCAAAAAATATCTAAAACTGCACTCCGACAGATGTCAAACAGATGTCTTTGTTCTCACTGACAGTGAGGCCACAGACGAATGCGGAGCGAAAGTAAACGTCTTAGAGCCCCTGAACTTAATATGTGGCTCATTAGAATGTTCTTGTCTTCTGTCCACTCGCCGACTGTTTATTACGACTGCGTTTCTCCCTCGCGCAGCCTCTGTTTGCTCGCCCTGGTTTAAATAACAATCAGTGCAATCTGCTTCATCTTTGATGGAGATTAGCCCCCCGTACCCCACTGCCATCACCCACCCTCTCACTGTCTCAAAACAGTAGGGCTCTCTGCCCATCTTTGTCGATGCCGTCTGTAGATGAGATTGCTGTTTTTTGTCAGACTTCCTCGCCCTGTCCTGTTGTTTCACTCACAAGCTTGTACTTTTGTTGTTGTTGTTGTTCTCCCTTTTTGGGGGTAAAAAAGACACATACAGTCACACACAGGCACATATATGCATGCTGTCCTACTCCTTTTTCTCATCTCTTTTGGGGGCCGCACTATTATGCTTGGAAATATATGCACAAAAGCACAGGCTACCTTCCTCTCCTCCCTTTGAATGGCTTTCACCCCCACATTCATGGCCAGACACACACAGCCCAGTAGTGCAGTTGTCCAATTATTTTCACTCCCACTTGCTGGACTGAAAGGATGCCACCGTTTTGCAGAAAAGCCCAACTGAAAGCATGATGTCATCCCCACCTCTCACGTCCCTCCCCTCTCTCTCTGCGTCTCTCTCTCTCTCTCTGTCTCTCTCTCTCTCCATCTCCCCTTGCCCTCCATTCCTTTTATTTACACTCATAAATCACGGTGAGAAGGAGACATTTTTAATCAAAAGAGAAAGAAATATGGCTCAATAAATCCTGCCACCCCAACCATAATAATGCTTGGCTTGTGTGAATGTCTATATTTGCATACATTTATGTTCAGGTACACAAATGTAAATGTCTGTGTGTGTGTGCAAAGTTTGAAATATGCTTATGCGTAGAGTTACACCTGAGCCTTTTCACAGGTAGCTGTAAGATAATGATAAACTATAGAAGTATAACATTTGTATTAGGCCAGTATCATCCAACAACAATACTTTTGCTTACATGTGATTTTCTTTATTTTTAATTTGTTTGAGCTCTTGGGTATTTTTTTAGTTCATTTAATCAAGCCAATTAATTCTCAGACACTGATGATACAAAGACCACACCAGTAACAAAAGAAATGTAGTTAACGATTGAGTAATTTTTCATATCTTTATAGAATGCTTTAAAGTCACGATTAAAGGTAGAAAAGCATCCAGCACAAAGAATATAAAGCTTTAACTATATCAGACAGTTCTGGTTAAAAGGGCAGGCTGTTTTCCTTTAGAAAGAGTCTCTGTTGATACCCAAAATAGAGGCCTACTTTACCGATATAAGGGTTTAAAAAAACGAACAACACTGTCAGCGTATTGGACTCTTTAGAAGCATGAATGACATGATTAAAAGGGGACATAATGGGGTCATTGTTTATTAACTTGCTGAAATTGATTGTCACAAATAATTTATATACATACACATTACTTGTGAGTTGGGCTCTAATGAGAAGTGTTTACAATTTTGTAAACCTCTGGTTGGCTCTGTAGTGCAGTGGGTTACAGATTCAGCTAACAAGCAAAGGGATCCTGGTTCAGTACCTGGAGGAGATACAGATCCCTTTGGAGCCACGTCAGGAAGAGTATCCGGTGTTCAAAAAGGGGGGGGGGAAATGGCTAAATCAAACATGCTACCTGGGTACCCCTATATAAATAAAAAAATTTTCATGTTTAAACTTCAGCTGTAGAAGTGATGCCATATTATATTTTTTGTGACTATGTCTTTATCAATTGTATTGATATTGCAATACAATTGCAGGTGTGAAAACATTGTTTTGTCACATCTTCAGATAGAATTCATGAGGATTTTTTTCTCCTTTCGTTTGGAGAAATAAGTTTTGTTTTCGTTACTTCCTGTTGAGAAGCACACTGTTTTACGCTCAAGTTCAAAGTTTGAATTCTTTTATTTTGTTCTTTTGTATATAGAAACCCCAAACTTTTTCTTACTCTCTGCTAATATTTTTTTAACAGGTAAACCAGAGTATTTGTCATCTTTTTTTTAAGGCATTTCACCTCCTCCTCACTTTTTCCTCCTCCTTTCTCTTTGCCTGTTAAGAGTTCTCAAATGTTGCTTTCTTGGCAAAGGACTTCTAATAGTAATTGGCCAGAACTCTCAGTGATGGGGTGAGGGTGTTCAATTATTTATATTCCTTTGAAGCTGCCAATTGAAAAAGAAAAGAAAATGAAGCCCCTTAGTGGAGAACATTTTCTTGTTCCTGTTTCCAATATCTTCACCTCTTGGTTTCTCGCTTCTTGTTTCTCTCAGTTTTTCTTTTTCTTTCTGCCTGCTTCAACTCCCTCCTTATCTTTTTCCAGTCAAATTGTGTTTGAGGCTCTCGATTTAGTTCTGTCAGTTCAACTTTATGTACACCCTGCTGTTGCATGCTGGGTCCTTGTGTTTACTCTATGCACTTTTTTCCCGCTCTCAAATGAGAAGAAAACAAGTTAATTTTTAATTGAGTTACAGACTTGAATCTACTGCTTCAAGAAGCCTGCTGCTGCGGAGTAGAGGTTGAAATCTCCGAGCTGTACATTTACAAGTAGTAGACAGAAATGCTCCGACCCACTCACCTGCATCTTGTTTTCTAATCTTAATGTTTTAACTACACATTTAATCTGGATTTCTACACCTGTCATGTCATATATTCATGTGTTGTTCCTCAGTGACAAGAGTGCAAAGAATTAAACAAAAAAGAAAAAATGCACTGCTAATGCTGTAATGCTTAATTTAAGTTAATTGTGAGAATATTGCACTGTTCTGTTTATATGGACTCGTGTCTGCTGCAGAAATGGTCCCAAAAGAATCTCCAAATAAGAAATATCTATTTAAAACACTTATTTCTAAGATTGCAAAGGTGGGTGTTTTTCTTTGTATGTGACTTTAAACACAGAGAAAGATGCAGTAAGCATTTGCTGTTTTGTTTTCATTGAAATGCTAGACCCTGTTCCCCGCTCCATTTTCTTTCTCCTCTTTTGTGTTTTGTCTTTTGTTTTGATCAGACCTATAACACCTTTGGCAATTTGAGGTGTCTTCTTCATTTAATGAGCCAACAAGTGTCAATTGCCTCAAGTGAGTCTCTAAATGACACAAAATTGTTCTCAATTCGCCTCATCCGTGTGCGCTCTGTGGCCATTTTGAAATCAGGCACATACTTAAGCTTAATTTCCGTCCTCTCTCTGAGGAATCACACCTACTTATTTCCAATGGGCTGAAGGATACTTAGTGACTTTAGCTTTTTACTTTAGCCTTCAACAATGGTTTCAGTGGGACCAATTTGCATTTTACAAGTGTGCCATTCTTTTAAGAAATGCAGCTTCCCTGTGACAGCAGTGCGGTCAGGCTGTTTTTCACCTCTGGATACCAACACACATTTATTATCTTTTAAACCCTGGGTTCCCACATCCTGAGCAATGCCCCGTGGACTTTTAAGAAGTGAAGTGGTCAACAAGTAAAGTTAAACAATATGGCACACATTCAGTAGTTTGCATGCAAGCACATCACTTTTAGATGCCTCGTGCCCTGTTGGCTGTAAATGTATTAGTTTATTAAATAACTGACAGAAATTCCCCAGAGGCAACGTCATGTGTCCTTAGTTTGTTTTTTTTTCTAAAAGGAAGAATTTGAGATATAATTTTCACTGTCTG